GGGGGGGGAGGGGAAAGAGGAGAACAGGAGATGGAATGATGCTTCAAAATGCAGGAAGTTTGCCCCCTTCCCCACTATAGGACTGGTCAGCATAAACTTTCCCCATCTACCCCCCCCCCACTCCCACCTTTGCCAAGGCATAGTCAGCTCTTTCCAGTGCCATGTACTACACTTATAGCATTAGCAGTATTTTATGAATATTAACCATCTGGGCTTTTCCTTGTCTTGCAATTTTGTTAGCCATGATGTTCTTGCAAGTCTTGATCCTGAACTATGCAGTGGAAGTTCTTCCAGGGATTTCAGTGGAGGGGCAAGATCAAACCACAGAAGGAGTGAACTCAGTTAAAGGCACTGAATCAGATTGTTATATGGTCCAGAACCCTTGAGGCACTAGTGATGCATTATTTTCTTGCATTATATGCCTTTGTTACTCAAATTCTTGTTGCTGTTTGTACAAATGGTGGAACAAAGACACAATAAAAGATGCGTCTAAATATACTGACTATAATTTCAGTGAGCATTAAGTTTGGTTCTCCCATAAAGTCAATATTGACAAGAACTTCAAGCCTGGCAGTATTTATCTCGATTCAATAAGTCTGATGTTTAACTCAAAACAAAAAATCCACAAAAAAACCCTACAAGAACATAACAAACAAACATCAATGTCTGCTTAGTTTTATACAAATTTGTTGGTGAAATTTGACACCTCAGGGAGGAAGAATATAAAAGAACAATACCAGTGATCATTTCTTTAAAAAAATTCTCATTCCTGTTGCATAATTTTTCCCATATTAAGAGCTATTGGAATATCATTTAGACAGTAAATCAACACTGGTCTTGAACAGGTAGAAAACAGCCAGCATCCCAATATTATACAAGTGATATATGGAAATTGATGGAGTGGACTCTTGGCTCACTACGATAAAGTTTCTGGATCTCCCACGCATTGTAATATCCAGTGTACAAAGTGACTGACAGAGCATAGAGCAGAGATGGGCAAAAAAAACAGCCCACAGGCTGGATCTGGCCTACCAAGTGATTCTATCAAGCCTGTAGTAGGTTCCTTGGCCCCACCCAGCTAAGGGGGCGGAGAGAGAAGAGGAACCGGTCTACAGCAGCTCTACATTCCCCTCCTCCCTCCCATTGACTGCCCATCAGTGCTTCAATTTGCATTTTCACTCTCTCATACTGGGATCTGGCTTCTATTTTATCCCATCCAGGAAGAGGACAGACCAACTGCAGATACTTCCTAAGCCTGATGAAGAGTGTTTGTACCAAAAAGCTTGGAAAATTTTTTTTTCTTTACAACTATTTTAGTTGATCTAATAAGAGGTATCAGTTGTACCCCAAAATCCTTGCCTATCTATATCCTTAGACCAACATGGCTACAACCTATACCCTTGAGCAGGCAGGAATTTCACCCATGTTGAGACTGCCGGTATATTTTCTATATCTACCATCCAAGTAAGGAGTATGCATTCTTTCAACCTAAATATAAATGAACTTTCCATCCAATAGCTATTGTTCTAAATTGGGTACTTTACTTGACTTACTACATACTGCTTGTATAGCATACATCTACTTCAAGGATTACCATGCCATGTCCTTTTTTTTTTTTTTTTTTTTAAAAGAATAAAACCACCCACAGAAACAGCGCACTGTTTCTGTAGCATGTAGCCCTGGTCATCCTCAATGGGCAAAAATTTATTCACTTTACTGGATGCAAGGAAAAGATTACATTTATACCAATTGAAATGGGAAAACCTGCACAACTCTGAAAACGTAGAGTATTTGTATGCTAGCTAATCATGCAGTGATGAATATAGTACCTTGGGCATTATAGCCAAATTCCACGATCATGCTATTTTACTAAGGGCCAAGAAATAGATACTGTGGACAGACATGTACTCCCACTTCAAACGGAACAGACATTGCTGGAGTAAGCATACACCTTTATCTATGCCCAGAATCCCATTTTGCACTGTTTAAATATTTGTCTGTCAGGATAAGTGAAGGTGAAAGACAGATTCAGCCCGTGATAAGCAACTGAACTTAATTAACCCCCTCCCGGCAAAAATTAAAACAGAAAACCCTCCCATGTGACTGCACCCTCAGATCAGATGTGGCAACCCATGATGTATTACTATTTGCCTGATCAAAGTATTTAATATTACAGTTTTGGACTTTAAACTTTGTGTACACTCATACACATGTATGCTTTATGCCAGACTTCCAACTCCATCATAACAGCAGCTGTTTTAAACCATCAATACATTAGTACTGGTGTTATTTTTAAATTCCAGAATATTTTATGCCATACCATCTATTCTAGGCACCTCCCACCCCCTTTAGAGTAAGAAAAAAAGGTGTTCCATTTTTTAAATGGAAGTAGAGCCATTTGTAAATGCTTATATTTATAGTCATTAATGACAACTAGAAATAGCAAAAGATAAATATGAAAATGAATACCTAGATCAAATGAACTGAAAGATAAAAGAAAGATTTTTCTCCCCCTTGGGGAACTGTTTAAGAGCTGTACATATTTTTATTTGCATTTTGAAAGTACTGCATGGAAAAACAGTAATTCATAGTTCAAATTTTAGACTCAGCATAGATGTGAACAAATAAAAAAAAAAAAAAAAGAGATACAACATATATTTGCGTAACTTGAAATTCTTACCAGAGATTTGATGCCAGATCCTGCTAGCTTTACTCATGCAGGTAGTGTTGACATCCACAGAAGTCATCTCAGCAAGTGGGTGCAGCTCTCAGTTAATTTATTAAAGTGGCCAAAATAAGATGAGTTGAGCAAACAGATGCATCTCTTTCCTCAGAACAATACCATTAGTTCAATGAGCCAACTTGTCTGAATAAAGTGTATAAGGGCCATAATACAAGTCCATTCACCTAACAAAAAATAAGAAATTAGAGTCATACAGTGTAGGTACCTGAAATAGAGCACAGAGCTGCCTACAAACACACCTAAGCCCAGAGAGAATGGACAACCCCTAAACCCATATAGTGGGGACATGACAGTGTTTCCTAGATTCATAGACATTCGGACTGGAAGGGACCCTGGAGGATCAGAGTCCAGCCCCCTGCCCCAGGGGCAGGAAGTCAGCAGGGATCATAGGATCCCAGCAAGACACACTTCGATGCTTTGTCTTGAAGGTGTTCAATGTGGGTGCTTGAACCACCTCCAGCAGCAGTCTATTCCAAACTTTGGGGGCTCGGACAGTGAAGAAGTTCTTCTTTATGTCCAGCCTGAACTGGTCGCAGTGCAGTTTGTGACCATTTGATCTTGTCATCCCTTGGGGTGCTCTGATGAACAGACGTTCCCCCAGATCCTGGTGAACACCCCCGGTTACAAAAAAAAACCCAACAAACAAAACTTACAGGTGGCCACCAGATCGCCCCTGAGCCTGCACTGTTCCAGGCTGAAAAGTCCCGTGGCGCTCAGCCTCTCATCATAAGGTCTGTTTTCCTGACCTCTTATCATGCACGTGGCTCTCCTCTGCACTCCCTCAAGCTTCTCCACATCCTTTTTGCATTGTGGAGCCCAAAACTGGATGCAGTATTCCAGCTGTGGCCTCACCAAGGCCGAATACAACAGGAGAATGACATCCTGGGATTGCTTGAGAAGCATCTATGGATGCGAGCCATTTGAACAGGGTCCTGCTCTTCATATTCTTGGAAAGACAGGGGGAGGGGACGGCAACCAAGGCTACAAGGCTCAGGGACTACCCTCCTTCTGGGACAACAGGCACTTATGGAAGGGACCCAAGCCATATACCCACCTTTTAAAATCTTGCTTACCACATTGCCAAGGCTCCATCAGCATCCCCTCACGACCAAGTCTGGCATAGAAGCCATTTTGTTGCCCATGATCCCTTTTATTCAGATAGCTTAAAGACCCATCCCTCTCAGGGTAAAAACCAAAAACAGTTTTCTGTCCAGTATTGGACATCTCTCCAGTACAAAGCTCATTCAGGGTTGGACAGTTTCAACCATGGTGGCTTTAGGTCCCACTTTAAACAGTCCAGGTTAATTGCATTTTGACCACTGGCTTTCAAAAAAGGCAAAAGGAAACTAAACAAAAGACTCTGCCTCTCTCAAAGATTAGCCTACACAGGAAAGTGTGCACCATTGTTTTTATGAAGGCTATATACATTCCAAAATATTATTTATATCAATTAGGCCTTGGTAGGAAATTTTTTTAAAAGCACAAGAATGATCTACAGAAAACCCTTTCCTTTAGATATTAGGCATGTAAAATTAGTTATTCTTGTGTTTAAACAATGACATTTATTTGAATTAATATTCACAGACTTACTATCTACTAATTAGAACTATACTCTAAGCCCATTTCAAGTGCTATAAGTGAGCTTCAAACTTCTGGTGAAAAACTAAAGTACTTTTTTGCCAATTGCGACAAACTGCTGGCAGGGTAACCCCAGAAGCCATAGCCTCTCCCCATGGTTCTGCTGCTTCAGGGAGCAGACTTGATTTTTGCCCTTAGGGCAAACTCTTTACCCCAAGTGAATCCTAGGTTCCTCAGTCCCTGACCAGACCTTGCAGCTCCATTTCTGTGAAAACAGATGCCTCTAGTTTTGTGCTACCTAGATATTGCTTCTTGCCACATGCAAGTCTATAAAGTGTATAAAACAGTAGTAATATAGATAATATTATTTATAAGTCACAAAAGACACAGATAATATTAAAAATAGTAACCACTAGGTAGAGACAGAAAGTATGCAAGAGAAACAAGGAAAAAAACCCACCCCCTCATTTCACTTCTCTAATCTAGAATCAATTTCTTCCACTGTTTTCCCTAGCCAGCAACCCTGCCAGCTGTTAGCAGGACACCCCAGCTCTCCCGAGTTTATGGGTGGAACCAGGAATTTTGCCCCAAGACAGGGATTTCCTAGACAGTTTCTCCTCAAAGGAGATCTCATATACATTAAGAATCTCTCCCTATCTTTATTTCTCTGTTCAGATCTCAGGGAGAGTGTGTGTATTAGGCAGAGATGTACTTGGTAGCTGTGTTGGTCTGAGACAAAAAGACACACAAAAAAACTAGAACTCTTGGTTCCAAAATGATACCTTTTATTAGACCAACTGGAAAATGCCAAGGAAGATGTCATTTTCTGCAAGCTTTTGGGATCAAAGTCCCTTCGTCAGGCTCTGGGAAAAGTGTAGATGGTACAAGATGGTAAAAGAGTCCCCATAGGTAGGAAATAAACTTCATTTTTGCACAGAGGGAGCTGAAGATGGAAATCTGTCCCTCTGGGTCCATGAGGGACTTTGAGCTGTATTGAGTAACTCTTTGATGTGTTGATCAGGTAGAATTCCTTCCCTGGAGGTGTCAGACGGCAGGCAGGGAGGCAAAAAAAAAAAAGGTCCTTGGGACTTTGGTCCCAAAAGCTTGCAGAAAAAGGACAATTTTCTTGCCATTTTCCAGTTGGTCTAATAAAAGGCATCATTTTGGAACCAAGAGTTCTAGTTTTTTGTATGCATTAGGCAGATGAATTCCTTCCCCCAGAGAGACCTTTGTCTGTCAAGTTAAGCACCTTTTTTCCATTCAAAATTATATTTAATGAAATCAGCAAAAATGCTACAAACTTGTAATCAGATTTTCTTTTGGAGATCCCTCTCTCACAAATCAGAATGCCTCTCAGCATGAGGCTTATTTTTGAAATGTACTTTAGCCATTGTCGGGGTAAACTGAGACAGCTCTCTTTGAAGTGTAAGTAGCCACTGCTTGAGGTTAATGCTTTTGTTCAGGTAAACTTTCTTGGCTGACAGACATGCCTTCTAGATGCATGTCAGAGATTGGTATCCTGATCAAAGCCATATTGGTATAGAAGAGGAGGCTATCAGGACTCATAGTAGAGATGATATCATTTACTAGACCAAGAAGATTTTTTGCAAAGGAAAAAAAAAAAAAGCTTGCAGTTAAAGAAAGCTTCTGGGTGCAAACAACCTTCATCTGGCATTGGAAAAAAGATTGTGAAACTTCTCCTGGGTAGAAATGAAAGTTCATATTTCACAGAGGCGCCTATAGATGGAAAACTCCTCTGGGCAGTTAGCTTACTGCCGAGGACTGTCTCTGGTAGTGAGCAGACTGCCCAGAGGAGTTTTCCCATCTATAGGCGCTTCTGTGAATTCATATTTCATAGGATCTTTCATTTCTACCCAGGAGGTTTCACAATCTTTTCTCCAATGCCAGATGAAGGGTTGCAATTAAAGAAAATTGCAATTAAAGACAATTTTTTTGCAAAAAATATGTTGGTCTAATAAGAGATATCATCTCTACTATGAGTCCTGATTGCCCATGTCAGAGATTGGCTTCCTTCCTGGAAGCCACAGTTCAAGGCAGGACTAGCCATCCTCTTGGAAGGAATATTTCTGACATTTGACTTAGCTATCAATTCACTGCCCACTTTCGGTATGAATGTATTAATTATTTGACTTAAAGCCACAGTTCATTTAAACTGAAAAATGAAAAGCTGACCATTGTTTAATGCTAGGTGTAAATGGAGACTAATTATTCTTGCCTAAAAGGGTACCTGTGACAGCAACCCTACCTTACTTTTTCCCCAAGGGCCATCACTTCCCCTTCCACAAGGGAAAGGAGAAGCAGGACAACCCTGGGCTGCAGCATAGGGATTCCATGTTAAGCAACAGAAGGGCTGTACTTAGTCTTTGCCACCACCCTGGGCCACTTTCAGTTGTTCTTTTCTTCATAATCCTTCTCTTTGCTCTTCCCATTGTCTCTCAAGCTGCACCTTCCTACCCACTTTCCCCACTCTGCTTGGATTGCAGGCAGCTGTTACTAATGGGTTGCTTAGTTACAGCTGGGCAAGTAATTAGCCGCTTCATTAACCCTTTCTAGGCTGTTCCCTTTGATCTATCTTTGCCCTATTATGGTAGGAAAATGGGTAAAGTTGCCCATGTCCTAGCAGTCAATACCGAGACAATAGGTAGCAGAGCCCTAGAAGTCCATGAATCTGTGCACCAGGTAGTCCTTGCTCTGATGTTGCTGCCTGGTTTTGTCTGTCTGTGACTTCTAACTGGGGACAATACAGGATGCAATAGCTCAAGCCCCAGCAAAAGGCACAGCTGTTCTTGCCTCCAACATTCAGCCAGGTCTCATCCCTGCAATGTAGCATCTGGAACACTAGGGTCATTTTTTCCTTTGGCTTCCAAAAAGACTTCCAGCTCTAGGAATACTAACTCACCACAGCCTTTGCGGATAAAGGTCCTAGTCTCTGCCCCTCTTTGGGCACAAGCCACCTAACTCCATCTCCATCCTCCTCCAGCACTGGGCTCCTAGGCCACGGCCTACATTAAGCTTCAACTTCTTTCTTAAATACAATCAAGCCCTTTCCCTCTGGCAGGGCTCAAGACAGTCACACACCCCTCATGCACTGCTAGGACCTCCAGCCTCCCCTAGTAGTCCCTAACCCAAGCCATCAGTTATAGTTGAAACAAAAGAATAAAGCCCTCTTGGCTAGAACACAAGTTCTTCCCTGTGCCTTAATGCAAACAGCAGCTTCTCATCTGACCCATAAAACTCCACCCTACCCCAAGTTAGACTTCACTTTAAATCACCAGCAGTCTACCTACCAGACCCAGAATAGCCCACATGTCCATTAGGAGCCACTCAACATTTCTCCTGTTCTGGATACTCCTTCATTTGTCATCTTCAGGCTCACACTGACCACTCTAGCTCAAGTACTAGGTTTATAGGCTGCCCCAGCACCACCCCTTACTGGTCAAGTGGCTTCCCCAGCCAGCTGCAAGCATTTTTCATTTGGGCCTGATGGCTGGTCTCCCTGGCAGCTTATAGCTGTGGCTCTAACAGCACCCTCGTTGCCTATAGCAGGGCTCTGCCCTATTACAATATTGCTAAGCAAGTAGCTCTGCAATAGCTCCTCATAGCCTTAAACTTCTGGCTCGCTATTTACTTGCAGCCAGCTTATATGGAGCAGTGCTCTTTCAACTGGCTGCAGGTGTGCACCTTTCTTAAATGTGCAGCTCTGCTTAGGAAGCAGTGTTTCTTCACTGCTTACTCTATTGCAGCTAGTCCCTATGCAGATGCCTGGCTCTATGTACTGCATTTTTGCTCCTTAAAAAAAACAGGAGCCCTAGGCTTTCTGTTACAACGCACCTCAGGAGAGCTGCTAGAAACTTAATTGTGTTGAAGCTCTTGCTGAGTGGTGGGATGCCACTGCACACCAAATTTTTTTCTGGCACATGGAATCATGGCATGTTTTTAACATATCTAAAATGTAGCAAAGAGCTTGCTAACTGGTTTTAATAGGATCATTGTATGTGACACTCCTTATCTCCTAAATAAATATTATCACTTATCCTAACAAATCAATAATTTTAGCCATAAAATAAAAAAGGTTGTCATCAGTAAAACTAGAAACTCATTTGAAAAAGCTACAAACATTTCCCATCATAACCCTTTACACTCATGTAGTACAAATACGTTAGATTTTAGACATAAGGCCTAAATTTAGACACAATGCTTTATTTTTGCAACATGCTTCTGTATCCAACATGGCTTGCAAGTAGCTTCTGCACTAACTTTTGCACATAGATTGAGGCCTGCTTAACACATAGGACTGTCTCAAGTGACCTAGAGTTACACGAAGACAGGGGGTTACTAAAGGCCAAGTTTACCGCAGTACCCCCTGTGCAACACACACAGGTGTGACCGAGCATAGCCATCTTTGAACTTCGACATCCTATGGAAACTTAGATATAACCATGGAAACTGTGACGTCTTGCGGAAACTTAGACGAAATAATAGAAGCTTGTAGAAGTTGTAAGACAACCAATAGCTGCATAACACGACACGGTTCTTTGTTTAGGTAAGCTATAAAAGGACCCCCAAACAGTGTCTGGGGGTCGACTCTGTTTTGGGTTACTTAACCCCTCTGTCGATCAATTGCGCAATCAATAAACTTATAATGGACCCAGCCTGAGCGTGTGACTCCCTCCTTCAGGTATTTGGAGAAAGCCTCCAGGGGCACGAAACTAGCAATTTGTGCAACACTCATATTCCTATAACTTAAATATATTCAACTCTTGGGTTGCATTATCCACATTTGATCTCTGTTTAAACAGTTGTTTGGACAAAATTCCTATAACTATTTTTGGGATATAGGAGTGGAAAATAAAGACATAACATACATGGTTTAAAAAAAAATCTTCTACTTGCTGAACAGTGCTGTAAGTAAAAATTTTGACATTTGAAAGCTTAACTGTAGCATGGATATTTGGTTTACTATGATTGTGTACCTTTGATTTGAAAGGGAATAAATTAATATATTTATATGGGTTTAAAAAAAATCACACCTGGGAACACATCCCTCTCCAACCAGGTTCTTTTCAATGAGGTGTGAACTTACTGTGAACATTAAAATGTCAAACATTTTTTTCCAATAAAGTAATTAAATTGAATTCAAATTACTGTGTTATTGCCTTGTTGGGGGCTAGACTGTGTCTGGCTCTAGTGCACCAGCAACTACAGTATCTAATTGCTGACACTATAGCCTATAAACTGACTAACCTCCAAATGTAGAATGAATTTTGCTCTTGAGAAACTGAACACTTTATACTCAATAGCCTCTCCTCTCTGAAAAGTGTGGACATGTTCAGGGCAGCTTCTGGTTGTAGCTCAGATGTTACAAGTAGCATAACTAATGGGTGGGGCACTAGCCCCAGGCACCAACTTAGGGTGCAGACAGAAATGCAGCTCCTGGTGCACTTCATAATTTGTTCTGAGTTATAATGATCTCTGGGAATAAACAGAAGTTCACTGTTCACTGTTGGTTCCAGTGGGGAGGGGAATCTATCTGCTAAATTTCCCTTAGCAACAACCCCTCCTCCCTGTGAGGCTGCAAAATTATCAGAATGGGAGGGGGAAAAGGCAGCAGAGGGAGCTCATTCTAGGGGTTCCCCAGCCAGTGCTGGAGGGTGGGGTGGGTGAATTGGAGTCCCCCGACTCTGAAAAAACCCAGATTGAATTCACTGTGCCCGCTTTCCCCCTCCCATTCTGAAAACAGCTAGGAAGCTCACAGGCTTCACAGACAAGTTACAGAAGATGCTCTGTTTTGAAACATCTTTGTCTGACTTCTCATGCAATGAGGGTTCAGATTTTTACCCAATTGGCCATTTTGAAGTGGTATGTAGCTGTGCACTTGTGTTTGGCCATGGCTATAGACCACTTTCTGTGGCCAAAATTATTACTTCTGTCTGTGCCCTTAGGGGAAGTGCAAAAATAGAACCATCATGCTGCTGTCCTGGCTGCTGCCTCTGGTGGCAGCCCAACTACAGCTGATGCCCTGTGCACTGCCACTGCCCAGGGAAGAGAACTTTCCAGGTATGCATTTGTAAATTGCCTTTATATATGCTGGCAATATACTCCAAGAGGCAATATACTCCAACTGCTGATGGACAGATTGCATGGGACAATTAATGCAAACTGGGCAGCAAAAACTGTGGTTCTTTGCACCAAAAAAGGTTGAGAACCAATGCCCTAGCTACAGTCTCCAGAACTGTGATCTTTTGTGGGCAGAGGCAGAATTTTTTTTTTCACATTATTGCATTTCATATCACCACAGCTCTTTGGGTGAGAGCTCAAAAGTACAACTCAGATTTTAAAGTGCTGCTTACTGAATGGTCAGACTGTATTGGATTCCATGGTAGCTGAGTGAAGGAGTGGTACTCCCAGTTTCCTTGTGAAGGTCTCTGAGTTCAAGATTTGTCATATGACTTTTTCTTTTATAACCAAATAAGCTTTACTGGCCTGACCAAATAAATTCCCTTGGAAGCAATTTATTCCCTTGGAATAAATGCAGAATTGGAACAGCAATTCCCTTCCTTTAGAATTTAATGCAGAATGCCAAAAAGCTATTGCATTGGGAGTTTCTGTTCTTGCCATTACACATTCATTTGCAAAGCATCTGCTTGCAGATGTTAAAAACAAATCAAAACACGCTCTACTGGAAGAGGCAATGCGTTAGTTGAACTTGGCTTGCCCAGTATTTGTATAGGTTGGGTGCTTCAATGGGGCTTATTGGTGCTTTTATCTAAAGCTGAGTCTATCAGCTATTAGAGAAAAGTGCCAGAAAAGCCCCACTATAGCTCAATCTATACAAATGTTGGGCAAGCCAAGTCCAGCTAATGCATTGCCTCTTCTGGGCATACACTGGGCTTGGCATGGGAGCATGCTGCATTTAAAGTAAAGCTCAGTTTTGGGGTTTGTTTTTTTTAATGTCTGCAAGCAGCCTTTACGACTGCTGACTAATCCTCACAGACCGTGTCCACACATGCAGGCACGTGCGCTTGCAGCACCTCAAATAGAAGCTGTGCAAATTTGAGTCGGGACTTTTTGCCTCAGCGCACATGCCTGGACATGCACTTTGTTGTGAGACAAATTGTGCCACTTGGGGCAAAATAACCCTGCCTGGCTCCTCCCAGATCTGCAGCCAGGGGGAGCTAGAGCTTGGGGCCAGCACCTGTGCTGTCCCCAGCAGTATAAAAAGCTGCCCTAGCAAGCAGCTCAGGGTGACTCTCTATCAGGAGCTTCTGGGGACCAGCCAATTGGTACCTGGGGACACTACCCCTTATGCCAGCTGGACTGCTGCAGCAGCATCCCAAATCCATTTTTTTAAATACCCCAAAATCTATGTTCCTCCACAATTCGAACAAAAGACCACTCTATACACACACACATATAGAGAGAGACAGAGAGGGATTGATCAGTTGGGCTTTATTAGTATATTTACAATGTTAAAGCAATTTGGAAGCTTACCAGTGTCTCTATCATTATAATAAAATTAATTCTAAATATCTATACGTGTGAATGTGTGCTTTTGGCTTTCTTCACACATGAGGCAGAGCCACAGGCCCCTCCACCCTGTGCAGGGTCCTAGGCACCCTGCAGGGCCACAGCCCCCCATGCAGAGCAGCATGGGGGTCCTTCTGCAGCAAAGACCAGGCGCCCACAGGGACTGTGCCGGCAGGGTCTGGCAGGGACCACATGCCAAGCCACACCGGGTCCTGCCAGCAATGGAGCCCTCACACAGCCAGGCCGGCCCCAGTGTGAGCAGCCCCAGTGCTGGCAGGCCCCAGTGGCTTGGTGCATGGTCCCAGCGCGCTGCGCTGGGTCTGGCCTCTGGCAGCAGCGCTGAATGCCCTGCTGCGCAGGCAGGGAGGCAGCACATGGCAGGACCCGGCCCAGTGCCACACGACTGGCTAGTCTGGCTTTGCACCAGACTGGGTTGCACGGCTCCTGTGCAAAGGCACAGTAGCTGCATGGCCCGGGCCACATCGGATTGGTGGAGCACATTTTCCAACAAGCTCCCCCGGCCTGATCCAGGCCTGGCTGTGCAGCTAGTGTGCCTTTGCACAGGAGCTGCGTGATCCGCTCTGATGCAAAGCCAAACTAGCCAGTTGCACGGTGCTGGGCCAGGCCGGGTCCCGCCACGTGCTGCCATCTCTGGCCACTTGCCTCCCTGCATCCCCTCACCACCCCATGGCTCTGCCACATGCCTGCCTCCCAACCTGGTCCCAGTGGCACTGGTGGCAGCAGGCAGCCTGGCTGTGGCTCTGCTACAGGCATAGGTGGGCAGTGACACAGCACTGTATGACCCGGATTCCTACATGCTGAGACCAGAGCATCTCTTATGGAGGACCGACTCCTATGTTTGCTCCA